CATCCTACAGGTGGAAGCCCTAGCTCATCTTTCTTTTCTGATTCAACCAGCAGTTACTGAGGGTGTGTATACTGTGTGTTCTGGAAATATAGCAATGAACCAGACATATATGGATACTTTTTCATAGAGGTCTTAGTCTGGAGGGGAGGAAGACGTTTCACTCATAAATAAGTATCTATATCAATATTGATGACTGCCATAAAACAAATTTATAATCTGCCTTAGAAACATATAGCAGAGAGACATCACCAAGCTTAGAGGGTCCGAGAAGGCTTTCCCGTGGAAGTGACATCTAAACTTCAGCCCAAAGGATGAATAAGAGTTATATAGGTGAATAAGACAAGGAAAGAAATTTCAGGCAAAAGGAAGAGTGTGTTTAACAGCCTAAGTCAAGAAGGATGTTGGTGTATTTGAGGACGTGAAAGAGTCAGTGAGGTTGAGAGCTGTGCATAGAGAGAAGAAGTGGCATGAGATGAGCCTGCAGAAATAGAGATTGTGCCTGGCTAGATCAAGCAAAGCTTTGTGGGCCAGAGTAAGGGTCTTGCACACTGCCCTAAAAGCAATGGGTAGCCTTCCCTAGCCATACAGGCCCTTAGAGATCCCTCACTATATATCCCCAGAATATCTTATTTTGTATTTAGCAGGATTTATCACAATTAAACAAATATTTTCACAGTTGTTCTCCAAACGGAGGAGAGTAACATAATCAAAATTACAATTTTAACTTAAATTTTAATGTAAGAGTCAAAATTTAATTTTACATCCATGTGATAGTGGATCACAGTGGGGCTGCAGTAGATGTTGGGCAGTCACAGCAAAGCTCTTACCTTAATCCACGTGAGAGGTGATCATGGATTGGATTAGTGTTAGCAGTGAAGACGAAGCTAACTGAACCAATTGTAGGTTTAGTTCTGAGGCGAGGATTTAGTAATGCCTGTGGAGGGTGTGGGAAAGGAGGTGTCAGAGTTCATGAGGCAACTGTATAGTCAGAAGGATAAGATGGTAAGATTACATATGAAAATGTCAAGTTTGAGGGGGCTGAGACTCTCAAATAGAGAGGAGGAACAGTCTAGGGGATTGTATGGGTCTCAGAGAAGTGAGAGCTCAGGCCTGGCAATACACATTTGGGTTCTCTCAGCATAGGACTATTACTTGAGGCCATGAAACTGAATGACATCCCTGATGAGAAGAAAAGAGGATCAAGGACTGTGTCCTGGAGAACTCCACAATTCAAAGGTCAGATGGAGGATTTGGTTATATTGACTGAAAAGGAAGAGGAAATGGCAAGAAGAAAACATAGAATGGGATGACAAAGCCATGTAATCATTTTGTGAGAGAGATGGTGTAGCATAATCTAACTCCAGAGTTCCTTTGCCCTTAAACTAGGATGTCTCTTTATGATGTCTGTTTCCTCAATACCCTTACCTATAACAATATGTCCCTCTCTCAAAAGCTGAGTATTGATGAAGTTGTCATTGTGTTAGATAAGAGAAGTGCCAGGGATCTTAAAAGAGTCTCTGTTACACAACTCCAGAGGGTACCGTTCACATAGAATGCAATGTGAATGGGGCTTCCTGGGGTTCTAAGGCTCAGTGCAGCTCTGTTCTTGAGGAGTCATTTGTCCTCAGCGAATCTGTTTACTCCAAGAGTTGTGTTCTGGCAAAATCAGTCTTAGAAAAGGGCTAACTTAGTTGTTTGGGAATAAGCCCACATCCATTACTATTGGTCTCTTTTTTCTCTACCAAAACCATTCTATCCTTCTCAGTGTGGAATGGGGGAATTCTGGCTGCTAGGAAAAAGACTGACCTGAGACGTCATTGAAAGACTTATCTGAGAATTTTTCTCTAATACTCTTTCAGGTTCTGATAAAAGGATGCCAAGACTCGTTCTCCTGTAGCTCTGTTCAAAGAGCTCCTGGTTTTATCTTTGCAGGTTCTTGGCACCAGAGCCAGCAATTCTACTTCAATAAACAGACCTAAATAAGCAGATCAAGCATATCTTTCTTTCTCCAGTTTGAGAATTCTCAAGGCCTGCCTTCTAATGCTACCTGGGTCAATATGACAAGGCAGGGTCTACTTACCAATAGTGGATTCTCCACTAATGCTCAGCTGTTAGTCCTTGTGAGCAGAGCTTCCCTTCGACCCTAGATTTTAAGTTGAAGGTTAAACTGGATAACTTTCTGGCTTGCCTTCCCTCTAATGACTCCTCCCAACACAAGGAGGCCCTCACTATGCAGGTTAAAAACTCTGCCATGTGTGTACCTATGCAACAATCTTGCATGTTCTTCACATGTACCCCAAAACCTAAAATGCAATAAAAAAAATTGAAAAAAAACAAACAACTCTGCCATTGACAGATCTATAGACACTAGGACTGTGCAGGAAATGCTGCTCCAGAATCACTCCCTAGCATTCATCAAGCACATCTTGTACTGCACGTGGACGGAGATGTAGCACGTTGAAGAGATTATGCAAGGATGACAGGATGTCCATAACCATACTGAAGTGCCTGTAGTTCTTTCCATGGTCAGATGCTGCCAGTCACTGGGGAAACAGTGTTCTCATCTGATATGGTTTGGCTGTGCCCCCACACAAATCTCATCTTGAATTGTAATCCTCATAATCCCCATGTGTTGAGGGAGGGACCCAGTGGGAGGTGATTTGATCATGGGGGTGGTTCCCCCATGCTGTTCTCATAACAATGAGTGGGTTCTCACGAGATCTGATTGTTTTATAAGTGTTCGGCATTTTCTCCTTCACACACTCATACTCTCCTGTTGCCTTGTGAAGAAGGTGCCTGTTTCCCCTTTTGTCACGGTTGTAACTTCCCTGAGGCCTACACAGCCACATGGAGCTGTGAGTCAATTAAACTTCTTTCCTGTATAAATTACCCAGTCTCAGGTACTTCTTTATATCAGTGTGAGAATGGACTAATACAGGAAATTGGTCCTGTGGAGAGTGGGGCAGGCACTGCTCTCAAGATAGCTAAAAATGTGGAAGCAACTTTGGAACTGGGTAATAGGCAGAGGCTGGAACAGTTTGGAGGGCTCAGGGAGAAGACAGAAAGATGTGGGAAAGTTTGGAACTTTCTAGAGACTTGTTGAATTGTTTTAGCTAAAATGCTGATAATGATATGGACCATGAAGTCCAGGCTGAGGTAGTCTCAGATGGAGAATGAGGAACTCATTGGAAACTGGAGCAAAGGTCAGTCTTGCTATGCTTTAGCAAAGAGACTGGTGGTTTGTTGCTCCTGCCCTAGAGATCTGTAGAACTTTGAACTTGAGAGAGTTGATATGAAATTGGAACTTATGTTTAAAAGGAAAACAGAGCCTAAAATTTGAAAAATTTGTAGCCTATGATATGATAGAAAATAAAAACCAATTTTCTGGGGAGAAATTCAAGCCAGTTGAAGAAATTTGCATAAGTAATTAGGAGCCAAATGTGAATTGCCAAGACAAGGGGGAGAATGTCTCCAGGGTATTTCAGAGATCTTGGCAGCAGCCCCTCCCATCACAGGCCTGAAGGCCTAGGAAGGAAAAATGGTTTCATGGGCCAGTCCCAGGGTCTCCCTGCTCTGTGCAGCCTCAGGACTTGATGCCCTGTGTCCCAGCTACTCCAGCTCCAGTTGTGGCTAAAAGGGGCAAGGTACAGCTCAGGCTGTTGCTTCAGAGGGTGCAAGCCCCAAGCCTTGGTGGCTTCCATATGGTGTTGGACCTGCAGGTGCACAGAAGTCAAGAGTTGAAGTTTGGGAACCTCTGCCTAGATTTCAGAGGAAGTATGGAAATGCCTGGATGCCCAGGGAGAAGTTTGCTGCAGGGGTGAAGCCCTCATGGAGGACCTCTGCTAGGGCAGTGTGCAGGGGAAATGAGGGGCTGGAGCCCCCACACAGAGTCCCCAATAGGAAACTGCCTAGTGGAACTATGAGAAGAGGGCCACTGTCCTCCAGACCCCACAATGGTAGATGTACTGACACCTTGCATAGTACACTGGTAAAGCCACAGACACTCAATGGTAGCTGTGAAAGCAGCCAGAGCAGAGGACTGTATCCTGCAAAACCACAGGGGTGGATCTGCCCAAGGTCATGGGAGCCCATCCTTAGCATCAGTGTGCCCTGGATGTGAAACATGGAGTCAAGGGAGATTATTTTTGAGCTTTAAGATTTAATGACTACCCTGCTGGATTTTGGACTTGCATGGGGCCTGTAGCCCCTTTGTTTTGGCCAATTTCTCCCATTTGGAATGGAAGCATTTATCCAATTATTGTGCCCCCCCCATTGTATCTTGGAAACAACTAACTTGCTTTTAATTTTACAGGCTCCTAGGTGGAAGGTACTTGCCTTGTTTCAGATAAGACTTTGGACTTGGACTTTTGGGTTAATGCTGAAGTAACACTTTGGGGGACTCCTGGGAAGGAATGATTGTGTTTTGAAATGTGAGGACAGACGCAGTGGCTCACGTCTGTAATCCCAGCACTTTGGGAGGCTGAGGTGGGTGATCACTTGAGATCAGGAGGTTGAGATCAGCCTGGCCAATGTGGTGAAATCCCATATCTACTAAAAATACAAAAATGAGCCAGGTGTGATGGCAGGTACCTGTAGTCCCAGCTACTTGAGAAGCTGGAGCAGGAGAATCACTTGAACCCGGGAGGCAGAGGTTGCAGTGAGCTGAGATTGTGCCACTGCACTCTAGCCTGGGCGATGAAGTGAGACTCTGTCTCACAAAAAAAAAAAAAAAAAAAGAATTAAAAAGAATTAAAAAAAAGAAAAAAAAAAAAAAAAAAAAAAAAAAAAAAGAATTAAAAAGAATTAAAAAAAAGAAATGTGAGGACATGAGAATGAAATTTGGGAGGGGTCAGGGGCAGAATGATATGGTTTGGCTGTGTCCCTACCCAAATCTCCCATTGAATTGTAATCCCTGTAATCCCCATGTGTCTAGAGAGGGATCTGGTGGGAGGCGACTGGATCATGGGGGCACTTTCCCTCATGCTGTTCTCCTGATGGTGAGTTCTCATGAGATCTGATAGTTTTATGAGCGTTTGACATTTCCTCCTCCACATGCTCACATTCTCTCCTGCTGCTTTGTGGAGGAGGTGCCTGCTTCCCCTTCTGCCAGTCCCTTTCTGCCATTTCCCTTCTTCCATGACTGTATGTTTCCTGAGGCCTCCCTGGCCATGCAGAGCTGTGAGTCAATTAAACCTCTTTCCTTTATAAATTACCCAGTCTTGGGTATTTCTTTACAGCAGGGTGAGAACGGACTAATACATCATCTAAAGAAATGCATTTGGGGCACCTCAAGGAGCTCAGAGAAACCACAGAAGATATGAAAAAAGAACCAGGGCCAATGAAACATGGAAGAAATTGATCCTACTTAATCCAAGTGACAGGAAGTTAAAGACCTACTCCTTAGTCTAATGGAATACCAAATCTGGAGTCTGGGGATTGTCAAAGTGAGTGATGTGTAAATTTATACTTTCCATGTTGATCAGTTAATCATCAATTTGTTTTATTTTATTATGTTACACTCTTGCCTACTTCAAAAAAGTCTTTTAGTAGTAAGGGAAGAGCAACTCTAATTCCATACAATTACTTTCACTTGGTCCCTAAGAAATAACACAGATATAAAATCTTTTCTATTCATTTTAATTAGATTTTATAGACCAAAAAGTTGGAATTTTTTCCCTTTCATTAGATGAGAATGAATGAATGACTTTCTCCCTGGAGAAGACTATGTATTTTCTGTGCTTCAACCTAAATATCATTTTCCCTATAGTCTCCATCAATATCTTAATAATTGGCAACTGAATTTGTACTTTTGTTGGTACCCAGAAAATTGCCACTTATTATTACAATATTGTGGTCAGAAGATGCATGGAAATTACCAATCAGTCAAATGTGCACCAGTGTAGAATCCCACATGTGATTTAGATAGGTACACCATCTTTGTACAGTTGGTCTCAAGATAACTGTCTTAGTTTAAACAAAATATAAAATAGATCTGAATGGCTTCCTGGTCAGAATCTTTGCCTTTCAAACAAAAAATCTTTGTTTTTCCCAGCCTCAGTTCATGTACTCAACTAGTTGTTCCATTCAGATGATATAGGTTATACTTTGACTACAGCCTCCAGCCAGAAGGAACAAGAAATCCAGGAGGAGACAGTCTGGTATCAGTGTCAGCTTTAAGATCTGACTCACTCTGTAGGGACTTAAGTGACAATATTACAGAGTATTCATTTGAAAATGAGGAAAATGCTGCTATATAAAAAGGAATGCATTTAGAAAATCATTCAACATGTAGACTCTGATGAAGAGCTTAAACTTTGTTTCATTCTACTGTTTCTTTGGTTATATAAATAGGGAATTGTTCCCTAGAAAAAAAGGTGGCCTGGCAGCCCTGGTCTTCACTATAAAAGCAGAGACGCCCTGGCACTGCTGCTTGGCCACTGTGTTCCTTTTAGCAAATCATTAACCACTCTCAGTTTTCTCAGGATCGCATGTAGTCATAGGGATAACTTACTGTCAGCCTACCTCTCCTCCCCTACGAAGTGGAGAGCCCACTCCTACCTCAGGAGTTAATGAATAACTCACACAGAGTGTGACACAAGGGTGGGTTTGAATTTAAAGGCAGTTCCTTTCCCCAACCACCACCCCACCTCAGTATTGGTGCGGCATTCTGCCCTTGCTTTATATTCTCATTTAAAAAAATATAACAGGGTCCAATTTCACCTCTTAAACTAATCTGGCTCCCTTTTTTCAAACTCCTAATTTTGGGAAAAAAAATCCAGAGTAGTTCTACTTTCTTCTGATATTCCTTGAAAATACTTCTCCTTCATAGCAAAGATAATTAAACAGCTTGGTTCCTTCCCTGCTGTGAAATATTGAGCTTCATTTCAGGACCAAAGGACATAAACCGGTTTATGACATAAACAGGTTTAGACCATCTGCAGAAGACAGGACAGAGATTGCATATTGTATTTACTAGGACAAGAGATTTACACTGACCACTTTGGAATAAGATTGTATGTACTTAGTTCAACTAAGTACTGAAAAGTCTTATATAGACTGAAAAGCCAACAGACTTTTTCTGTGTATATGTAATTGCTTTATTATGTATATTTTTTACTTTGAAAAAATAATGCTTTGCCATGGTGATAGTTTTATCTTTCATATCTTTAAATAGGTGGGGGAATGAATGGAAATTTGCTTTCTCAACTTTTCCACTATACTGTGTTTTTAATAGATACTTTCTTTCAGTAGGATGCTGTGTATTTAAGCCTGCAAAATTCTTCTTGGGTATTTCTGAATCCTGTTGTGTACGTGTGGGTTGAGAGTTCAAACATCTCATCTCCTTTAGTATTTAGTTGCTCACTTTATTGTTAGAGAAACCGGTCGCCAGGTATCCTTTCTCTATTTTCTGACATAAAGCCTTTTGGAATTCAAATTTCTTCTCATCACACACCTGATATTGACTTTGGAAGCAATGGCCATAGAAAAAAGGTTCTTACTCAAACCATCTAATTGACAAATAACTGACTCATGCCTACTCCCCAAGTTCGGGGCCAGTGTGGTGCCATAATTTTTTCCCATAACACTAAAATTCCACTACAAGTATCTTCCTTAAAATCCTACCCATATTCAAGAAAACAAACATGAAAATGTGTGTGCCTGTGTGTGTGTGTGTGTGTGTGTGTGTTCTTTTCCTAGGACAGTGTTCATTTTCATGTTAATTCTGTCATTTAATAAAATCTCATTCTCCTTTCAGTAAACCTGTAACCTTACGTCTTTCCCAAACCTTGCCAATTGGCAAACACCTCTTTGTAGAGCTATCCATAGTTCTCAGATCTGCTAGCTTCCACTCTGTGGACCTCCAAATACAGTGGAAGAGAGAATGTGACCAGGGAAGAGGACTGTTAGACTGAAAAGCATTTTTGTTTAAATCTAGCAACAGGTTGTACCCCATTGCATACTCCAGGGCAGATAACCTGATGCATCCTGGTTCCTCGTTCACACAGCTCACCACTGAGGAAGCACATCTATGAATTCCCTATTCAAATTTGGTTGGCTCTTTAGTATGACTAAAACATGGGGACACACTACCTCTAAATAAATAGTACTGCCTGTTTCTTCTAATGGCATATCAGCTCATTGTTTCTAAGCCATGGAAATCTTTGCAATTTTAATAATGTAAGCTAGCTCCCTAATCTCTGTGAAAGGGTCCTTGAAGCATGAAGTATACAGTTGTCCAACCCACTTCCACAATTCTTGCTACTTTACATATCAGTTTAGTAGCTTACACTGTATTAGCATTAAGTCTAGACATAATAGATGGAATTATGAGATCACATGTGCTAATGTAATAAATTTTTGTGTAAGACAAAATGTTATTACATATTTCTTGTCTGACAGAATTGTACAGTATTTCCTACTAGGTCTGAAGTGCACAGTCTAGAGGATAAATGATACAGAAGGTATCTGAGTATTCAAGAGCCTTAGAAACATTCTCCCTGGAAATACAAAGAGTAGAGACAGTTATTAGAGGGAGGTTTTCATGTTCACAGTCTAAACTGGGTCTAATTGTTGCCATTACAACTAGAGAGCAATTTCAATAGAACATCTACCTTCTGAGGGGCAGTATGGCAGTTTATTTCAGTGCAAGACTGAATCTGGCTTTGCATATTTGGGAATACTAACTTATGGTTTTTGAGTGTGGATTTTTTGTTTGTTTTTTAAATGAAGGCTACATACACTTTACTAGGCTATTGTCATTGCATTTTTAAAAATGATGACTTACTTGTACTTTAAAAAGATGTTTAACATAGAGTTTCTAACGGACAGATCTGGAAATCAATCTGAATTGGACATACTATGGCTTCAATGCACAGGATAAGTTTTCTCATATTGCTACCTTAACATGAATTTGATACCCAACTTGAAAACAATCCCATAAAAATTTCTTCATGGCCCGTTTAAAATTGCAATAGTTCAGTGAAACTCCAATTAAACAATTGCCCATTAACTTGTTATTTAAAATACAGACTTAAAAACCAATAGACTTTTTTTGGTGTGTATGCAATTGCTTTTATAAACACAGGTTAGGTTGGAATAAGGAAGTCCTAGTTCATCATGCTGGAGCTTGTCCTCGCTGCTGCAGGCTGTTGAAGTGAGCCTCCTTCAAGATCTGGTTGATGTGGGAATAAAGACCTTGGCATAGTACATACCCCTCGTGCAAGAACTGGGGAATGTTTGTATTGGGTTCAGTAACAATCTGGTTTAAGTTGCCTTCTGGTCCATTTCCTCTCTCTGGGATATTAATGTAGCTGCTGCTCCTTTCCTTATCACTGCATGAAAACTGGAAGGAAAAAGACAGAAAGGGGATTGCTATTATACTATTACAATATTTTTCCTACTTGGCTTGGAGAATAGCAGCATAAAAACTCTATACTGGGCTTAATGGTTTTTATAAAGTAGAGCCATTTAAGATAGTTCATTCTATCCTCACAACAATCCTTCAATTAAGTTGAGATTAACAGCCCCCATTTTACAGATGAGGAAACAGATCACTGCCTTGTCCAAAGTCACAGAACTAGGAAGTGGCAGGGTGAGCATTCAAACACAGGCCTTCCAATTCCAAATCTCTTCACACATTCTCTACCCTTGCTTGTAGCATTTATTCCAATAACTAGATCAGAGAAGTAAATACTTAACCTCCACCTGAAGTATCAATTAATATTAAGGATGTAGTAGAAATAATGACCATAACAAGTAAGATGGACTATGGGTAAAAGTTGCAATGAAGCAAATACGACACATACATGCATACACACATAGATATAAATAAACAATGACTTTGTACACATATCCTGATAGTGGACATTTATGGTCCTCCTATATCAATTCAATACTACATACATATCCTGAAAGGCATTTGACCTACTTTTAGTCAAAGTTACATGTTACTTATTAGCATTTTATGGCTAGCATTCATTGTTCTTCTATATTTATGGATTTAATAGGGTGTGTATTTCCTCTTAAGATCTTTTTTTTTCATTGAACTAATATGACTCAGTATCTTTTTTATGTTGGAGAAGCTACTCAGGGATCCCTGTAAACAGTCATTTCCAAGAATTTCCTGCCTTCCAATGTTACAATTCTCAAAAGAATAAGGTAATGGCAAGGACTCTTTGTTCAAATTACAACATTAACAATGCTGGTATTATAGTTCTTCTAAGTAAGTATTTTCCAAAGGTAACATTAGTAAGACTTAAACCAAGAATGGTCATAGTCCATAGGTCATTTACAGCTGCTCAACTTAGGTCACACAGTACACTGCCCACAAGTACCAAGAAACAACCTATGCTCATCATCATCCAACTAGAAACATATGTTAAAAGAACTTATGCAGGAAAGAGATGGGAAAGGCCAAATGAAGCCAGATGTGAGAGTTAGCATAGCAATCACATTGATTTAAGGAATAAATTTTAAGGCCAATTCAAAAAGAAAATTCAAAAAAATATTTTCTTAGGCCCGAGTATAAAACTCTAGAACTCCCACTGTTGCAAAGTAATGATGTTATGAATATTCCAAAATTAAATAAGCTATTACATTGGATAAGAAACCCACAGTCCACACTTTGGTTCCTCTTAGTTTTGCTTGTTTTTTTGGTTACAGGTACTGCCTGAAAAATCAGGTAAGAATTAAAAATAATTTCTGATGAATCAAATTTTCATTTCCAATGACAGCATATTGATTTTACACTATAGTGTAACACTAGGGTGATGCTATCTTGTGTACATTAAAAATTCATAGGCTAGAAGGGATTTCTTTAGAATAATTATTGAGAAAAAATAGATCTACCTTTAATTTGCTTCATTTAAGAAGTTTTTAAACTCAACTGTGTACAGATATAAATAGAAATGCTCATTAACACATTTGTATACTATCAATATTTTTTAATAGCTAAAAATCAGAAACAACTAAATATTTAAAAACAAAGTAGTTAAATTATAGTACATGCATTCATACAACAGAATCTCATCAGCCATTAACAATAGTAATATATCATTCTATATCAGAAATCTTTATACTTCAAGTTCTTAGAAAAACCTATATTTACAGGCCATAAACATAGTTAACATAAATAACTAAATAATGACTTTCACAGCTTTCATCTGGGTAAACCATTTAAAAATTAATTAATTAGGGAAATGTAATGGAATAAATGCCTGTAAATAAACGTCATATAATTTAAAATCTAAAGTTATAATAAGTTAAATAATAAATACTCATTAAAGGTCTGGATCATTTCCAATTTTTAAAAAAAATAGGAAAATATTTTTCTAATAAATGTTTTGTTATTTAAAAGAAAATAATTTTTGTCTTATTCAAAGGTTATTTAAAAGTTATTTGTGAAACAAGGTGAAAGTAACCAGTAAATAAGAGTAATGTAAAGAAATATCGCTTTCTTTACATACTATATATTCACCTCTTTATAAATATAAAGGTATTTTTGGCAAGAAAGGTTAAAGGGAAAATAATTTTATATGAGAAAGAATCTTGTATGGTAAATTTCTGTCCTAAAATAACTGGTTATTTAAGAAAGAGAGATGTCTAGGATAAAACAGGAAGTCCAGGCATCTCATTAATGGTTTGTATCAAGTTGTCTTTAATTAAAGGAAAATTATTTATAATAGTCTTTTTAGAGATTAGGTTTTGATATTTAAAAAAAAAAAACACACCTGTACACTAAAGAATTGTTTAGAACAACAAAATTTTCTTAAGGTATTGTTTTACAAGGGATTTTAATTTTTTTAACCCAATTTTTAACTTTTATTATCTTGCTGTTTTCAGCTTTGTCTCCACTTTGAAAAGGCCTGAGATAATAACTGTCTCCTTCAACTCATTTTTAGCTTCCATAATTTTTTTCCTCAGGTTCTAACTGTTTGCCATGGCCTGATGCTAAAAATGTTTTATCTTAAAGGTCTAAAGAAAATGTTTTCTTCCAACATAACATTCTGTGCTCTTGGCTTTGAATTCTATAAATCCAAAAATTTTCACTAATTACCCAGGAAACACTCTCCCTATGTCTAAATAATTAAAGTATCCTTTCCATTAGTTTTGATTTGCAGGTTACCTAAATGGACTCTCCATAGGGAATAGCAATTGTACTGCAAGAAGATTATTATTATTTTTTTTTTTGCCTTTTGGCAACTGGTCTAACAAACAAATTTTACATTTTATCAAAATAACTCCTATGCCATTGTTATTAAGTTTTGATTTGCTTAGAAAAAAACTGAGGTTAAACTGTTTTTTTTTTTTAATCAAGGTTATTACATCCATGTAACTTTGTTGCTTTTAAAGTCCTTGTGCCTTTAAATTAAAGGGCTTTGACTCCTGAGTATTAAAAAGAACACCAAGTCCTGCTAAATCTTAAACAATGACAGCAGTTAAAGCCTTATCTTCAGACCCAGTAGAAGATGCCAATAAAAATAAACTGTTCATGAGACACAGGGCCAGAAATTAAAACTATTCAATTGCTCAAGGCCCAGGGACTATCATGGAAGAGGTGGGTGCATGAGATTCTAATGGCCAATTTTGAGAGACAAATTAGTTAAGTTTCTCTACAAATTAATCATTAACATTGATGGCACACTGATGCAAGACCAGCATCTAGGCCCCAAAGTCACAGTAACAAGGTTCTCTTGGAAATTAAGAAGCATTAACCCACTTCTTAATTTAAAAAATATAAAGGTTATAAAAAAAGTTTACTGAAATTGTATCTTATGGTCAAGATGACCAAATCTTAATAAATTTGTTTATAAAATTTTAAAAGAGGATTTAATGGGATTTACACCATCTTTATTAAGGCTTCTTGTTTGGGAAATTAAGTCTCCTCTCTGAAAAAATAAAGGGTTTTGTCTTTTTTGGGGAAATCTTTGAGTTATCATTTGGCTAAATAAATAACTTATTTTACAATGACCTTTGATTCTATTTTGTGATATCAAGTGTTTTTAACACTTTATAGTTGACAAACTTTCCAAAATAACATTCTAACTTTGGTCCTCATTAATCTTTTGATATTAGGTCCCCTGAAGTCCAAAAGAGACATATTCAGGTTATTTGATATAATAAAATCATATAAGAAGTATTGTCAAGTATGAAACAGCATTTAACCTTTTTTGGATTATATTTATATAAACATGTTACTAGTACATGTTTCAAAATTGTATGAAATTCCTGTGAAATTGACATGTTTTGGTACATGTCAGCAGTCCCCAGCCTTATTAGCACTTGGGACTGGTTTCGTGGAAGACAATTTTTCCACGGATAGGGGAAGGAAGGTATGGTTTCAGGATTAAACTGTTCTACCTCAGATCATCAGGCATTAGATTCTCATAAGGAACACACAGCCTAGATCCCTCACATGTGCCGTTTACAATAGAGTTCATGCTCCTATAAGAATCTAATGCCGCCACGGATCTGACAGGAGGCAGAGCTCAGGCAGTATTGCTCGCTTGCCCACCACTCACCTCCTCCTGTGCAGCCTGGTTCCTAAGAGGCCATGGACCAGTACCAGTCTGCAAGCCCAGGGACTGGGAATCCCTGGTATATGTTATCAGTAGTAATTATGATTATGTAAAATTGCTGTATGCCACAGAAGTAACCAAATTTCCTTGTCAATTGTGTCTTTAATTATGACAATTTTAGAACTCTTGTCATTCATGGTTGTTTTACTTTTATCATTCTCAAAAGGTGCTTTTACAATCAGATATAGGACTCTGACAGGTGCTCTTGAATGCAGGTTTTGGATAACTGTGGAGATTGTGATACTATAATAGAGGAAAAACTTCCAAGACTCCCATAGAGAGCTAATGTGTTCATAAACATTGAGAACAGGAGTTAATTACATAGCCTAGACAATGGAAAACAAATAATCTTTTTGTGACTTTGAAACATTGTTTGAAACTCAGAAACTTGTGTTTCTGAATTTCTAACTTTGTTTATTTTTCTAACTTTTGTTTCTCTTTGAGCTATTTTACTACTTTTTAACAACTGGGTAAACTATGCTCTTGTGAGAAAATCTGAAGCATATTTCTCTCTACCTGATTTCTCCAGAATTTGAAAACTATTTGCAATTATACATAGTTGATGGTAGTATAGTTATTTGCAAAAATTTGATAAGACTCTGTTTTCTTTTGTAACATGACACAATTGAAGACACTGGTTAGTTTACTGAGGCTTTGATTGGAGTGGCATACTTTCAGATACAAACAGATTGTTTTAAGGAATCAGGGTTGACTTATAGAACCAATAAAATCCCCTTGAGAAAGCTGGCCTCATATATTGTCTATA